TTCGAGCCCGTCAAGCAACCATCGATAAGTGGGATGCGATACATGGTGACATTCATTGATGACTTCTTTAGGTATGTGTGGGTTTTCTTTATGAAAGAAAAATCTAAAACATTTTCAAAACTTAAAGAGTTTAAGGAGACAGTTGAAGGAGAAGTGGGAAAGAAGATTCATTGCATACGCACGGATAATGGAGGAGAATATACCTCGAATGAGTTTTCCCAGTATCTAAGAGATTGTAGAATACGTCACCAGTTCACATGTGCTAACATGCCACAACAGAATGACGTAGCGGAAAGAAAGAACCGGCATCTTGCAGAAATATGTCGAAGTATGCTCCATTCCAAGAATGTTCTAGGAAGGTTTTGGGCAGAAGCTATGAAAAATGCAGCTCAAGTGATCAACAGGCTTCCTCAACCAAGGTTAGAATTTGTCTCACCCTTTGAAAAACTATGGGATATGAAACCTACAGTTAGTTACTTTCGAGTATTTGGTTGTGTGTGCTACGTATTTGTTCCAAGTCACCTACGTAGCAAGTTTGACAAGAAGGCAGTTCGATGTATCTTTGTGGGATACGACAGCCAAACAAAAGGTGGAAATGTTGTGATCCTACGAATGGAAGGTGTTACACATCACGAGATGTGGTGTTTGATAAAGCATCTTCTTGGTGGTCCTCATAAAAGGAAGCGTTGCCTGATTCGAGAGAGATAAAAGATAAGTTGCAGCAAAAGATGGATGAGCAAATTGTTCAAATCCAGTCGAGACCAGATGAGAAGGAGTTGAACCTGAGTGGCTCAAAGTTGGGAGAAGAGGTCACTGCAGCGGAGCTAAATCAAGCTTGGAATCCAGTGCCAAAGCAAAGAGATGTGAAACCCATATCATGCAAATGGGTGTGCAAGAAAAAGCTTCGTCATCAACTCAACATGGGTGAAAGAATGAGCTGGTGTTGAGGGGGAATGTTAAAAGTACAACACTAGCCTAAATAATAAGGACTGGCCCATGATGAAGAAACAAAGTAGAAAACATGCATATGCTAGAATCTTCTAGCATGAGTGTGTCGGTGGGAACAAGCTAGAATTGTCTAGCTATTATAACAATTGTGTGGCTGCCATGCAAAGCCCAAAGGCGGTGGGTAATTGTAGTCGGAAAAACCACACCTATAAATAGGTGTGTGTGTGTGTGTGTGTGTTGCTAAAAAATCAACCAACAAGAAATCAAGTAGTAGTAGTAGGCAACCAAGTGAGAGTGAGAAGCAAGAATAGTCTTGTAGGAGTGTGAGTGATCTAGAGTGTGTCTCTAGAAAGTGAGTGAGTGTCATTGCTTCTAAAGTTGTGTCCTTGTGAGTGTTGTAATATTTTGTGTGTGTAATATACAAGTAATTTGTTTACTTGTGTTGTCTCTTCAACACTTGTGTTAGAGTTGTGTACTCAAAGTTTTTCCCAACAGCCAAAGACGGGGATTTTTATTGATATTATGACACAAATATGCCGACAAATTTGTAGCACCGATGAAGCCAGGCAAACAAGGGATTCGAATTTAAGGGCACGATTAGCATACCTCAACTGAAAACAAAGGCCACAGGTCCCCAACTAACCTAATTAAGCACTTAAGTCTTGACCTTTAAAGAAGAAGCTATGTGAGTTGCAACTTACTAGTCCGATACATGGACACTATAGGACCACAAACTCCCAATAAATACTACAATTCACATAAATAATTCTTCTTAGGTTTTCAAAAAGCGATTAGTGGACCATATATAACAGACATGGATCTGATGAGATATATCTTAATTACACGTTAGAATTTTGTGAGTATATGTTGAAGTGGTTGTTTTGTGCAACAATCATTTGTTTAGGGCATCAGACTCAAATGTATGAAACTAACGTGAAATTGAATGAGACCAAATACAGTTACTCCGCTCTTTTATAACATGTGTCGGATAAGTAGCGTCGTCCTGATAGTTAGACCCTTTAATATGAGAGGCTTTGACACAATCAACTAGTCTGGTTGAGACAATTATCATTGGCCTTTGATGCGTTCGAGAAATGAAAAGTCTGTGATGTATCTGTAGGCAGTTGAGACTCTTTGGACATGGGAATAGTCTTTATTGTGAAGTTCACACAGTTGGCTGCATTTACCGTAGCAGCTCAATAGGTCAAGCATCAACCGACCAATTCCTCCATAAAGTTACAATCTAAAGCTTAATTAATAATTACGAAATTCTAATTCATCACCTAACTAAATCATCTACAACCACCCAAGTTAGACCAGTGTTAAAGGTGAGTGGAGAAATAATAGGAGTAAACTAGAGATTTAGAATTTGAAACTCTCAATTTTAACTTTAAAAAGTACGTACACTACTACAAAAGGGCCTTATAGTGTCAGTTGTTGCGTTGGTTTAATATAATATAGTGGCGCATAAGAGAGTTGTGACACCCACTGAATATGACGTTGGATTTACAAAGCCTGCGTCGTTTTTAAACCGATGTAAACATTTAATGTCGCTTATAACCGACACACGTTTTAATAATTTTAAATACTGGCGTCGCTTTAAATAAAACAGTGTCGTTTTTAAGCGACATAAAGTATGGGTGTCGCATATAGAAGCGACACTAATTGTTGTTTTTATATATTTTAATTTCTGCATCGGTTCTGAGCGACATATATTTTATTTTTTTAAATATTTTGAAACCCGGTGTCGGTTGTAAGCGACAGATTGATGGTCTTTATATACCCTCCTCCGTGTTTTCTTCTTCTTCTCTTGCATTTATCTCATTCTCACGATTTACAAAGCCTTTTGGTTCTCTCTTTCACCATTATTATTTCTTCTTCTCTTTCACCTTCCCGAGTTCTTGCAAGTTCATTCTTCACAACGGTAAGTTTTTCTTGCTTGTAATATTTTTATTTTCTTCTCTTATGTTTAATTTTTAGATACAATTTATTTTTGTAGGGAATTTATTTGAGCTGATTGAGTACATAAAGAATTGATCGAAGACGGAATTCTCCTATAATTCAGGTTTCTATCACTAAATTCTTTAATTTTTAAATTGTATAATACACAAGTTTATTTATTTAAAAATTGTAATTTAAGTAGTTAGATAAATTTCTACTATTTTTGTTAAATTAATTAATATTTAGGCGAATTAATTAATTTTGTCACTTGAATTGTTATGAGAAAATGGAATGAATATTATTTATAAGCATTTATGTTAAATTAACAACATTAAATATAACATAAAATTATAATATTGAGTAATTTAAGAATATATTATGTTAAATTAATTTTTTTTGCACTCTAATTGGTATTTTAATTTGTTGTTATTTTGATAATTTTTTGTTGTTATTTACTATAATGGATTAGATGAGAATAATTTGAATTGTTATGAGAAAATGGAATGAATAATATTTATAAGCATTTATGTTAAATTAACAATATTAAATATAACATAAACTTATAATATTGAGTAATATAAGAATATATTATGTTAAATTAAATTTTTTTGCACTCTAATTGTTATTTTAATTTGTTGTTATTTTGATAATTTTTTGTTGTTATTTACTAGAATGGATTAGATGAGAATAATTTGAATTGTTATGAGAAAATGGAATGAATAATATTTATAAGCATTTATGTTAAATTAACAATATTAAATATAACATAAAATTATAATATTTAGTAATATAAGAATATATTATGTTAAATTAATTTTTTTTTTGCAATTTGAATTGTTATGAGAAAATGGAATGAATAATATTTATAAGCATTTATGTTAAATTAAAAATATTAAATATAACATAAACTTATAATATTTAGTAATATAAGAATATATTATGTTAAATAATTTCTTTTTTGCAATTTGAATTTTTATGAGAAAATGGAATGAATAATATTTATAAGCTTTTATGTTAAATTAACAATATTAAATATAACATAAACTTATAATATTTAGTAATATAAAAATATATTATGTTAAATAAATTTTTTTTTGCAATTTGAATGGTTATGAGAAAATGAAATGAATAATATTTATAAGCATTTATGTTAAATTAACAATATTAATATAACATAAACTTATCATTTTTAGTAATATAAGAATATATTATGTTAAATTAATTTTTTTTACAATTTGAATTGTTATGAGAAAATGGAATGAATAATATTTATAAGCATTTATGTTAAATTAACAATATTAAATATAACTTTTGCACTATAATTGTTATTTTAATTTATTGTTATTTTGATAACTTTTTGTTGTTATTTACTAGAATGGATTAGATGAGCATAATTTTGATAACTTTTTGTTGTTATTTTAATTTGTTTTTACTATAATAGGTGTTGAAAATTAAAAGATTGCAATCGTGATAGAGTTCGAGGGTTGAAAGATAGAAATTGAAAATTCTAATAGTTATGCCTACATGATAGGGATTGCAAGATTGTAGGCATCTTAGTGTCACTGTCAGCGTAATATTTTACCCTCGTAAACTGGTAAAACATGGACAAGAGTTGGTTGACGATACCCCGAAATTTTGAAGCGTATACAGCTGGAATTAATTTATTTTTGGATCAAGCAGTTGCAAATGGTGATGGTCCTGATAAGTTTAGATGTCCTTGCAAAAGATGTTGTAATCGATATACTTTTGTTAGGAACACTATTATTGAACATCTCATATTGTATGATATGGATAAAGATTATAAAAATGCTTGCTGGCGACATCATGGCGAGCACAACATTGGAGAGCAAAATGTGGCAATTGGAGAATAAGAAACAGGAGATGAGGTGATTGGCATGCATGACTTTCTTAATGATGTATTTGTCCAACCATTAACAGAAGAAGGTGTTGGGCCGTCTACTGAACCGTCTATTGGGGAAGGGCGTCCATAAGAGGTGGAGACTTTTTTTAGGTTGCTTGAAAAGGCAGATCAAGATTTGTGGTCAGGGTGTAAGGAGTTTAAGAAATTAGAAGCAATTGTAAGACTGTATCAGATCAAGTGTTTAGCGCGAATGCCAGACGAGATCTTCACAACTTTACTGGAGTTAATTAAAAGAATGTTGCCTGAAGGGGATTATTTGCCTGAATCTTGTTATAAGGCAAAAAAACTTATAATCGACTTGGGTCTGACATATGTGAAAATTGATGCATGCCCCAATGATTGCATGATCGATTGGAAAGATACTTCGGATTTGACGTGTGCTCGGTTTGTGGTGAATCAAGATATAAAATTACCAACACAGCGGATAGGTCAAGAAAAAATATCACAGCTAAGGTTATGTGGTATTTTCCTTTAAAACCACAATTGCAACGATTTTTTATGTCGAAGCATACGGCTGAACATATGAGATGGCATGCAATTGAATGTCCTAAAGATGAGTTTATGAGACATCCTTCAGATTCTTCAGCATAGAAGCATTTGGATAATTTATATCCGGATTTTGCGTCAGAAATTCAAAATGTTCGATTAGGGTTGGCCAGTGATGGATTTAATCCTTTTGGAAAAATGAGGAATGACCATAGCACATGGCCTGTGGTGCTTTCTGTTTACAATTTGCCGCCTTGGATGTGCATGAAGCAACCAAATTTGTTATTGTCTTTTTTAATACTAGGACCGCGCAGTCCGGGTAAAGAGATTGATGTATACATGCGTCCACTGATTGACGAGTTGAATGAGTTGTGGGAGGTGGGCACTCCAACTTATAATGGTATTCCAACCAAAGTTTTACGATGAAGGCTGCTGTCTTATGGACTATAAGTGATTTTCCGGCTTATGGAATGTTGTCAGGATGGAGTACACATGGCTATAAAGCCTGTCCACATTGCATGCATGATAAAGAATCTATTTACTTGCCGGCGAGTCGTAAAATTTGTTATATGGGGCATCGACGCTTTCTTGAAGATAATCATAGGTTTCGAAGGCAAACCACAGCTTTTAATGGTCGTCAAAAGCATCGTAATGCACCAAGGCAGTGGACTGGTTTACAATGTCTTGAAGAACTTTGTACATTGAGATTTACTTTTGGAAAACCAAAGAAAAATGCTTCAGTTGGGCAACGCAGAAAAAAAACTTCGAGCAGTACAAGTGGTAACAGTCAGTGGAAGAAGAAATCTATTTTTTATGAACTACCTTATTGGAGGCATCTGTTGATTAGACACAATCTTGATGTTATGCATATCGAGAAGAATATATGTGACAGTGTGGTGGGAACATTGCTAGGTATAGAAAAGTCTAAAGATGGATTGGTTGCACGTGCAGATCTTGAAGTCTTGAACATAAGACGCAGTCAACACCCACGTAGAGAAGGAAATAGAACATTTCTACCTCCAGCTTTGTTCACGTTGAAAAGAGAAGAAAAAACTGCGTTTTGCAATGTGTTGTCTACTATTCGGGTCCCCGATGGATATTCATCAAATTTATCGCGATGTGTGCACGTGAATGAACGAAAAATACATGGGTTGAAAAGTCATGATTGCCATGTTTTAATGCAGCAGTTACTCCCGTTTGCAATACGCCCGGTTTTGCCTAAAGATGTTACTATGGTATTATTAGAGTTGAGTGCAATTTTCAGACAGTTGTGTAGTAAGGAGTCTGAGGAAGGATTCAAGGAACTGAGTTCAAGAATTGCCTTGACATTATGTCAACTTGAAAAAATATTTCCTCCTGCATTTTTTGATATAATGGTGCACCTTCCAGTTCACTTGGCAGATGAAGCAGCTCTTACAGGGCATGTTCCTTATAGATGGATGTATCCAATTGAACGGTAATTAATAAATTTTTATAATTTTTTTACAATTGTAGTCATAACTTTAATTTATAATTATAATTGTTTGTGTTTCGTTTATAATTATAGGTATTTGCAAACGTTGAAGCGCTATGTTCGTAATAAGGGTCGTCCTAAAGGTTCTATTGCTGAAGCATATTTGGTGGATGAGTGCTTGTCCTTCTATTCCATGTATTTTAGAGGTGTCGAGTCTCGTCGTACCCGTAGAGGCCGAAATGAAGATGGTGTTGGACGTGGAGTGGGTTATCAATTTTTGACTCCAAAGGATGTTATATAGGTTCAGGACAACATGTGGAGCTCGATCTAAATGTTCTTGATCAGTGCCATAGATACATTCTAAATAATTGTGATGAAGTGAACCCATTTAGAAGGTAAGAACGTTTAAGCATATGTCTTAATGTTTTATTGATTTTCTTAACTTTGAAAAATTAATTATCTAAATTTGGACATAATTGTGTAGCCAACATGAGGAATTCTTGAAAACTAAACATCGTCGAGAAAGGTTAACTATGCAACAAATTAAGGAGCTAAGCAAGAAAGAATTTCCAAAATGGTTCAAGCAACATGTGAGTTGATATAACAATCACATTATTTATTTATTGTTTTGCATTTTAATTATAACATGTTATAGTTATTCTGTCAATTTTTTTCTTCATACTTATTACAGATGAATTCAAGCTATCATGCTAATGACACGTTGATATCTCAAGACTTGCATTGGCTAGCTAATTATCCTAGTAGGGTTGTGAGTAGATATAAAAGTCACATTGTTCATGGGTTTAGATTTCGTATAAAATTAGTGGATGATAAGCATAAGAATCAAAATTGTGGTGTCTTTGTACCTGCAAATGTTCCTGGAGCAATTAGGCAAGTGAATTGTTATGGCAGAGTTGTAGATATGTTCGAGGTTAAATATTGTGGTCCTACTGAGGCAGGAGATAGGGGTCGAGCTGTGATGTTATTTAAGTGCGAATGGGTTAATAGTGAAAGTCCACGAGGAATGATGACCGATCAATATGGATTTACTAGGGTGAATTTCAATCAATTGGGATTTAAAGAGGATCCTTTCATACTAGCATCACAAGCATTACAAGCATTTACGTGGAGGACACAATTGAAAAAGATTGGCACGTAGTTGTTCGAACCCAGCCGAGGGATTTGTTTGACGTACTAGAGGATAGTGATGCTATTGATGATTATGCCATACCGAACTTGGATGATCGAATTCTTGATAATGAAAATTTTCATACAAGGGTTGGCGTGGAAGAGACTCATTTTCTTGAATCATTATCGTTGCCTATCGAGTTCGTTAATCATGCCAATGTCGACGATGAGCTAACAGATGATGACGGAGAATAAATATGTTAATTATTTTATGTATTAATTATACTATCTTTCATTTCGTATGTTATGATATCTTATTATAAAATTATATTTCTGTTTTTTATTAAGTATTATATATAAGTTAAAACTTTTTTTTTTTTTAATATTGGGTTATACTTTTTTTTTCTAGCTTGTTTCCTGTCGCTTTTAACCGACGGCATATGTCATCTGCGTCGGTTTAATTGAAATATTTTGGGCTGCACTTTTCCCGGTTTTTTTCATTCAGTTGGCGTCAGTTTTAACCGACGCAACCTCAGATTATTTCGACTCAATGAAAGCTTATTTCAACACAAACTGTCATGTTACGTCGGTTTGATCCGACGCAGTGTTAGCCTATTTCTACGCAATGTCAGTCTACTTTGACGCAAGGTAAAAACCTGTTGTGAATTATATGTATTAATGAGAAAAAAGGATGATTATTTTTTCTTATTTACAGTTCACGAAATTTTTGAGTTGTTAATTACACTATTTTTCTTTTTATTTAGCAATTTTATACTTCTAAAAACTATAATAATTATATATATATATATATATTAAATTCTTTTATTTAACAATTTTATACCCCTAAAAACGATGGATCTTCATTTTGAAATATTTACACTAGTGGATACCACAAAATCTTATGTTATACTTAATGAAAGTATGAATAAACTCTTTAAGTGTTAGTGAATCTATCGTTTTGATGGAATACGAATTCTACGAAACTAATTTCAACGATCCAACCGTCAAACATGTTTGTATATAATTCGAGATCGCATACGCCAAAAATTGAAAAAAAAAACATTCTGAGATAAAGTAACGGGAAAAACTTATTCGACGGTTATTAACGAAAAATCACGATTTAACGATTATTTTAACTCCGATTTTGATGATTTTTTATATGTACACTCCTTCACCCTATATGAATATAGTGAATGAATGCGATCTTCAATTTGAAATATTTACACTAGTGGATATCACAAAATCTTATGTTATACTTAATGAAAGTATGAATAAACTCTTTAAGTGTTAGTGAATATATTGTTTTGATGGAATACGAATTCTACGAAACTAATTTCAACGATCCAACCATCAAACATGTTTATATATAATTCGAGATCGCATACGCCAAAAATTGCAAAAAAAAAAAAAACATTCTGAGATAAAGTAACGGGAAAAACTTATTCGACGGTTATTAACGAAAAATCATGATTTAACGGTTATTTTAACTTCGATTTTGATGATTTTTTATATGTACACTCCTTCACCCTATATAAATATAGTGAATGAATGCGATCTTCAATTTGAAATATTTACATTAGTGGATATCACAAAATCTTATATTATACTTAATGAAAGTAAGAATAAACTCTTTAAGTGTTAGTGAATCTATCGTTTTGATGAAATACGAATTCTACGAAACTAATTTCAACGATCCAACCGTCAAACATGTTTGTATATAATTCGAGATCGCATACGCCAAAAATTGCAAAAAAAAAACATTCTGAGATAAAGTAACGGGAAAAACTTATTCGACGGTTATTAACGAAAAATCACGATTTAACGATTATTTTAACTCCGATTTTGATGATTTTTTATATGTACACTCCTTCACCCTATATGAATACAGTGAATGAATGCGATCTTCAATTTGAAATATTTACACTAGTGGATATCACAAAATCTTATGTTATACTTAATGAAAGTATGAATAAACTCTTTAAGTGTTAGTGAATCTATCGTTTTGATGGAATACGAATTCTACGAAACTAATTTCAATGATCCAACCATCAAACATGTTTATATATAATTCGAGATCGCATACGCCAAAAATTGCAAAAAAAAAAAACATTCTGAGATAAAGTAACGGGAAAAACTTATTCGACGTTTATTAACGAAAAATCATGATTTAACGGTTATTTTAACTTCGATTTTGATGATTTTTTATATGTACACTCCTTCACCCTATATGAATACAGTGAATGAATGCGATCTTCAATTTGAAATATTTACACTAGTGGATATCACAAAATCTTATATTATACTTAATGAAAGTAAGAATAAACTCTTTAAGTGTTAGTGAATCTATCGTTTTGATGGAATACGAATTCTACGAAACTAATTTCAACGATCCAACCGTCAAACATGTTTGTATATAATTCGAGATCGCATACGCCAAAAATTGCAAAAAAAAAACATTCTGAGATAAAGTAACGGGAAAAACTTATTCGAAGGTTATTAACGAAAAATCACGATTTAACGATTATTTTAACTCCGATTTTGATGATTTTTTATATGTACACTCCTTCACCCTATATGAATACAGTGATTGAATGCGATCTTCAATTTGAAATATTTACACTAGTGGATATCACAAAATCTTATGTTATACTTAATGAAAGTATGAATAAACTCTTTAAGTGTTAGTGAATCTATCGTTTTGATGGAATACGTTAACTCTGAAACTAATTTCAACGATCCAACCGTCAAACATGTTTGTATATAATTCGAGATCGCATACGCCAAAAATTGCAAAAAAAAAACATTCTAAGATAAAGTAACGGGAAAAACTTATTCGACGGTTATTAACGAAAAATCACGATTTAACGATTATTTTAACTCCGATTTTGATGATTTTTTATATGTACCATAACGTACCATAAGTTTTGTACGTACCAAAATAAGGATAATACAACGTACTAATAACTTGGTACGTACTAAATAAAAAATTGCATAACGTACCAAAATACTAATACATACCCAGATTAATACAAATTGGTACGTTATATTTAATATTTGTGCATGTTATATTTCATAATTGTATGTTAAGATGATGTTTATATGTTTTTATAATTTAATACAACAAATTATTTGCATAAGAAAAAATCATTTTAAACGAATTATGATAAGATAAGATAGGAAGTTTGTGGTGATTTTAGAATATTTATCATATTATTTTATGAACTAGTTGGTCAATTATTTACAATAAAAATCATATTTTTAATTAAAAATTAACACAAGAATGTTTGATCAAAAGTTTAAAAGTTATAGATGTTTGATTAAAAAAATTCAAATTTAAGGCATCTATATCAAAATGATCATAAAATTATATTTATGTTTTTTATTAAATATTATGTATAAGTTAAATTTTATTTATTAAAATATTATATGAAATAACATAACTGCTTATTTTTTAATTTTGGGTTAATTTTTTTTTCTCCTCGTTTCCATTTTTTTATAGTTAAACTCTATTTTTTTTATGTTGGGCGGGAATTTTCCCGGTTTTTTTGCACGGGGAAATGGATTGGAAGAATTAAGGTCATATTGGACGTGCGAATGAACCGAGGCATCGAAATAATAAATGGTTGCGTTGAAATAATAAGTAGTGGCGTCGGTTTAACCTGACGCAACCACTTATTATTTTGACGCAACCATTTATTATTTCGATGCCTCGGTTCATTCACATGTCCAATTCCGAGGCCACTGCAATGACTGTCTGTCAGAAGAACGTCGGTTAAAACCGACGCAATTGTGTTCTATTTCGACGCTAGGCAAATCTGTCAGAACAACATTGGTTTTAACCGACGCAATATGACCCTATTTTGACGCCAATATCCTTGCAGTCAAAAGTGTGTCAGAGGTTGTGTCGGTTTTAAGCGACGTAATGTTTGCATAATTCGACGCTAAGTTTTTTTTGCATATTTAAGCTTCTACGACCTATTTCCGTGTGTTTCCTTTTCATTCTCTCATTTCACTCTCTCATTTCACTCCCTCTCCTTTTCCATCTTCTTTATTCCGCATTTCTTCCGTGATTCCTTTACTTTTGCTATGGATAGTAGTAGTGATCATCAACGTTATGAGGAACTTCATGTGGAAGAGGAGGAGGTCGAAGCTGGTTATTTTTCCATACTATTATTAGTTTCGTTTTTTTTTTGGTGTGTTTATTCTACTATTATGCTTAAACTGAAAATTTACATTTGTTTCCTACTTTTTTGGTGTGTTTTAATTGTGGTTTTTGTATGAACAAGGAACATCTCAACGGAGGCGAGGACCCTCAGTTCCCAAATGGACGAAACATCTTTGTTCGTTTGATATGTCCGGCAAATGCATTAGTGATAATTCTAGTGCATTTTCAAAATATGTGGCATCGGAGGTTAGAGACCACTGAAATCTCCCATTGGCAAAGCATTGGCGTAAGATTAAGGATGTAGATAAGGAAGCTTTCTGGAATGGAATTAAGGTATAGATATTTTTATTTTTACTAGAAAATAAAAGAATAATTCAATGATTGTTATAATATTTGACTTGGTTGATTTTTTTTATTTTTTATTTTTTATTTTTTTATGGATGTAGGGAAATATTGTTTTTGAAGATGCAGATATACCAAAAATGCCCTTGATCCGCTTTATGATGCTTAAGGTTGCTAAGCATGCACATAAAGAGTTTAGAAATAAGTTAAAAAAAGTATTATACTGAGAGAGCAGTAGAGGAGCGTCGCCAGCCTCCTCCTGATGTGAATCCTACCCAGTGGGGTAATTTATTGGCATACTGGAGTGGAGATAAAACAAAGGTAATCGTTATGTAGTTTATTTCGTTATAACTATAAATTTGTCTAATAAATTTTTTATTTTTATTTTCAGGAGGTTGCTGAAAAAAACAAGATTAATCGGCAAAGGAAAACAATGAACCATACTACTGGTACAAAATCTTTTGCAAGAAAGCGGCAAGAATATGTATGGATTGTACAATTTGAAGAATTGTTATTTTAAATAT